ACACACACTGCCCCCAGAACTCACACCCCAGTGCGGAGGGTCACATAGACACACACAGGTAAGTGTAAAGCACATGAAGGAACAGCAAGGGCTCTGGAAAGACACAAATCCAGCCAGTGTGTGGGTAAACACGGGCGCACGTACTGCATGTGTGTGTGTTCACAGTCAGGCAAGCGTATGTGGAAGCCAGAGGGCGACTTGGGTGTCTCCCTCTAGCGCTCTCCTCTGTATTTTTCATCAGGCGCCCAAGTGCTGAGTCTAAAGGCATTTGCCACTCTGCCCAGCCTTCCCACTACACCTGAAGCTCTCGGTCTGCTGACCTGTCTCCACCCACTAAGAACTGAATGGCAGGCATGCACAGCCATGCCTGGCTTCTACATGCACTCAAATTCAGGGCCTCTGGATTGCCGCATAGCAAGTGCGCTTGCCCACTGAGCCATCTCTCCAGCCCCAGAAAGTGTTCACAGGCTGCTCTGGGCTCACTGTTTGGACAGAAGCCTGCAGACTGAGGGGCTAAGGAGGGTGGACTCTGAGAGCGAGGCCCTGGACACTGTGTGCCTAGACAACTGCTGCATAAAGGCCCTGAGGCAGGATTGTCAGGCATGGAACAACCCTCCAACTCCCAGACATTTGCGGGAGGAGCTGAGGAGATTTGCTCTTGGTCAGGGTGGGCAGAGTCTGAGGAGACAGGGGTGGGTAGAGTCTGTGGGGTCTGGGTGTGCATGGAGCTGTTTGAGCCGCTGAGAGCGGAGAGCATTGGAGGAAGGAACCCCAGTGGAGCTGCTTCAGCATGGAGGTGGCCCCAAGCTTAACTTCTCACATCTGAAGCAATCTGAGCCCCAGCAAGAGGGGGGAGTGCCGGGCCTCCTGGGGGTTCATTTTGTGCTCCTAGTGGCTCTCTCTGCCCTCTGCCCATCATCATTACCTACCCTGAGCACCAGCCTCTGCCGGCAGCCAGCCATGCCCAGCTATAGGCAGCCCTGGCAGCAGCCAGTGGATCATCAAGGGTCCTTGAGCTCCATGTCCCTGAGCTCCAAGGCTGCAGTGCCCTCAGAGCCCAGCAAGCTCCGTCATCACCAGCCTACCCACCCCCGGCTCACTGCTGTCCAGAGTGAGGATGGCAGGCCCTAACCCTAGGGCCCAGACAGTGGACATCCAGCTCTAGATACCCAGCTCACCACGAAAGGTTTGGATAGGACCCAGGAAGGCATGGCCTCAGCCAGGCGTGCTTTCCAAAGCTGGAGTATGCAGCAGGCAGGAGGGAGGGTGTAGCTGTATAGAAGGCTGGAACCCAGCCCAGTCGGCCCGCAACCCAAGTCAGCTCTCTTCCCTGCTGATGATAACGATGAGAATATGGCAGCTGTCACCTTTGCCCCAGGTATGGTTCCCAGACCTCGCCTCAGTCCAGTCGTCTCCTCAGCTGCTCTCTGGGCACACAAAAACTGAGGCTCAGAGGGATTAGACCACTTATCCAGAACAGATATGCCCAGGTCCCCACATGCTTAGAAGAAAACTGTCTGTGGTCGCCACTGCCATGTCTCCAGCCCACCCCAGTTCACTGTGTGGCTACACTGTGGTCCTCAGACTCACCCCTTCTGGCCCCAGGCCCTTTGCACAGCCTGCTTTCCTTAGCAATCTCCTTCCCTTGAAGCTTCACTGTTCTTTAGGTCACAGGGCAAATGGCCCTCCTGCCTTCCCATCCTCCCCAGATCTAGAGCCAATCTTGTCCTGATAACTCTGTACTCCGAGGCCCATGCTAAGTATTGCCCTATGGACTGACCAAGGAATAGTTCAAACAGTTCCACGGGGCAAACCTCTAACCCTGCCTCTCTTGCCCGCATCCACCCACATGACATCCCTTCTCCTCACCCCGCTGCTTGTAAATATTCAAGAGTTCACTGAAGCATGCCTCAAGCTACCTTGTCTCCCTATACAGCTTTGGAGATGGTTCATCATAGTTAAATGAAGGAATGTTTGTGTTACCCCACCCCACCACCCCATGACACCTCAGCCCTTTGGAGTCCTAGTCTGCATTCAGCAGGAAGACCGAAAGCCAGCTGACCTCAAAGACAAGCCATGTGCTGGAGCTAAGGGCTGACATGACAATGGCAAACCCAGTGCCTTCAGGAAAGTCTGCTGTTAGACACTGGAAAGGGCCCAGGGGCTGTTCAGCAAAGAAATCACCGAGCCAGCCTGTTGCAGCAATCAGATATTTGTGTCTAAACTGTACATCATTGTTTGGCTGGGTGATAAGTGAAAATAAAATCAATCTTAGTATTTGGGGCAGGAAAACTTCCACAAGGTCTAGGTTAGCTCAGGCTACATACGTACATACATAAGTGTTGGGCTAGCCTGGACCATGTAATAAGATCTAGTGAAAAAAAAAAGATGTGGAAAATGAAGTTAGCCTTGGCCACACGTCCCATCTGACCCCATGCTGCCACTGATCCCTTGTAATCCTCCCTCTACTCCCCCTCCCCCTCCCCCTCCCCCTCCCTGCCTAAGCCTTTGCACAGGGGACATGCTCAGCCAGCATTCTGTTCACATGCAACCTCGGGCACCCTTCCCACCTGCCTTAGGGATTCTCCAATGGGAGAACATGCCAGAACCTCTTTAATGAGTCTCCATGACTGACACTTGGCTTGTGGCCCACATGGGGCCTCCACACACCGTGCAGAGCTTCTCACAACCATCACCAAAAGTCTGTCCCTGTGTCAGATGCCTAACCATGAATGGCTATCTCCGAGCTAGCGAGGGCTAACTGGAGCCCTCCTAAAGGGCCTCCTGCTGTCCCACCTACCAGCCACGGTAGGGGGCTGATGTCACCTTGATCAGCAGTTTCCTGTCCTCAAATTCACCCTGCTCTGTGGTTTCCTGTTGTTTTGTCTCAGAGACACTTACTCTGAGTTCTCCCAGGGAAGGCTGAGCTGTGGAGGAAGTGGCCACAGTTAGACAGTCAGGTGGGCTTCCATCCATCTGCTTCCCAGCATGCTCCCTCAAAGGAGCCCAACAGGGGACAGAGGCACTGACAAACCAAAAGACTGCAGCCACAGGAAGCCTGGGCTGTCCTTGTGTTGAAGATCAAATGTCACGAGCCCTGGGAACAGCCTGACAAGAGAAATAGAACCACAGCACAGAGCCCCAGCTCCTCTGGGAGCCTTGATGGGGTCCCAAGTGAGGAAGCGACACCCGCCTGACAACAGAGTGCCAGCTTGTTCGGGCCCAGCATCCAGGACCCGTCGTTATGTATCCAGGGATCTTTCTGAGTCCGTGGTTACATACTCCCGCTAGTAAAGGTTAAATGCACAAACTAGGAATCAACGGTCCGTCTCACCCGTTTTACCCCTGCCTGAGGTCCCCTGGCTCTCAGGGCTGTCTGTCTCTGAGCGCATGGAATCTCTGTCCACTGTGCCCTTCAGAAGCCCCAAGCACTCCTCTGGTCACGTAAACTCAGCAGTGGAGTGACCATTACTCCACTGGAAAGCAGCACATAGTACAACTGTCTTCAACACCCCAGAAGCCAGTTCTTGCTTTTCTAATCTTCTTATTGATTTTTATTTATTATTGCGGAATGGCGCATGTGTGTAAGTCTGAGGACAACCTGAAGGAGTCCATTCTCTCCTTCCACCATTGGCTCCCAGGGATCGAACTCAGATCCTCAGATTTGGCCACAGGCACCTTTGCCACCTGAACCACCTTGCTGACCCTCAAAGCTGATTCTTAAGACTTTGCTAGCACCAGCCCTGGCCACTCTCGTCCTGTCCTTCAACCTCTGGCTGGCTGTGGCTGTCTTGATCAAATGTTAGCAGAAAGCAAGCTTGTGTCATGCTTGAGCATGGGGTTCCCCAGGGTGCAGCTTCTCAGGGCTCAGGGACTGCCCTGAAGGAAGTGTGTCAGGGAAGCTAGTGGGATAGGACTGGCAAGCAGCCTGCGTCCTTGACAGAGAAGATACCGTGCCTCGGGCCTCACCCCCTTGCCAGTCAGCACCACATTAGTGCTGACCTGGGGACAGGCCTGGGCCTTCATAGAGGCAATGGGGCTCTGCGTACATGACAGACACCATCAACCCATGTGCTGCCTGCCTTTAAAAACAGCGCAGATGAGTCAGATGGCAGTGGCATATGCCTTTAATCCCACCACTCAGGAGGCAGAGGCAGGTGGATCTCTGAGTTTGAGGCCAGCCTGGTCTACAGAGTGAGGAATGAGGGCTGCACAGAGAAACTGTCTTGGAAAAAAAAAAAAAAAAAACAACACAAAGCAGCAGCAAAAGCAACAAAACCCTAAATACCAAAAAGAAAAAATTAAAGATGATGTCCGTCTACCTGAAGAAAGAGACCTTCCATTTTGGATTCTTCCTCCCTTCCTGCGTGGATGTTGTGTGACCTGGGACTGTGGGAAGCTTAAGCATCAAGCCCTGGGAGGTGTGGGAAGCCATGTGGCCTCCAGGTTAGGGCTCAGGATTCAGCGAGTTTGAGGCTAGTTTGCATCTCCCATGTGCTGCTGGCACTGAAGGGGACCCACGGCCAGGAATAACCTACCTGCTCCAGCCCACTCTTGTGACAGACATAAGCACTGGGAGGTGGTGCCACCCAGCACAGAGTGGTACAGGGTGTTCTCCCTGTGGAGTGTGGTGATCCTGTGAACCACAGAGTCTAAAACTATAAACCCAAGTGAAACGGTGCCTGGCCACAGGGTGGTATAATGTGAGCAGCCCTGACCAGGACCATGGCTCTGACTCAGTATCTCAAGGATGTTCTGAGGCCTGGAATGTCAAGGGCGCCTTGCTGAGAACAGGAAGCTGAGGCCTTGAGGGAGGCCATCTGCAGAAACCAGGAACTCACAGGCAAAGCCATGGTGAGGAAGGAAACAAGTCAGAAATCAGAACAAAACAGCCAGGCCCGGTCTAAGGAAGAGTCCAGATGTCAGGCAGTGCTGGCCAGACCCAAAGGATCTACCACTCAAAGCAGGTTAGGAGCCAAGAAAAGAGCCACACACCAAGGGAATGTTCAGGTCCATTTATGCCAGCACCAAGGAGAGGCACTGTTTAACGGAGGTGGTGAACAGCAGGGAGAGGTTAAAAACCAAGTGAGGGTCTGCCTGAAGTCCTCCAGGGGGCAGGTATTCTCCCCCCAGATGCAGATGCACACACTTTGCCTCATAGACCTGATGCCCCAGCTTCTTGGGCCTTTCTTCCCACAATGTCCCAGAGGAGGCATGCACTCCAGAGTGGGCCAAGGGACACACGATGCCTGCTGTGCCTTGGTCTGCAGCTGCCTGCAGAAATGGCTGCACTTCCTGTCTATGTCTCCCCAGCTGGCACCACACTTATCACCCTAGGAGAAAAGGAGCTAGACCACACTGGCTGGGGGGAGACAAGAGTCTCCATGATCTCGGTCCCCACTGCACACACTGAGACACCGCTGCCGACCCGCAAACCCTCTGTGTACACATCCACCTGTGTGCAACGTGCACCCATGCACTGACAGACAGGCACACAAGCACATACCCACGTATAGGCATATGTACCCAGAACTACCTGGAAGCCAGCCCTCCCTAGGAAAGCTCCTTCCACTTCCTCCTGGGGACAGGAAGTAGCTGTGACTTTGAGGCTTTCCTGGGACAACTGCCAAAGCTCGCGACCCACACCCTCCTCCTCTCTAGTCTTCCAAATGTTCATTGGCCATGCGTCACCTCCCTGGAAGAAACAGCAAGCTCCTCTAGTGGCTACTGGCTCCCTTGTGAATCACAACAACCCTCAGACCTCTCTCCCTCTGGCTTTACCTATCATTTTCTCAAACTGCCAACCACAGGGCCTTTGCACCTACATGCTGTCCTCTTGCCAGCCTTCTCTCTCCTCCACTCTTATCTTTCTGGTCTTAGCCCAGTTGCTGCCTCCTCTGGGGCAGCTCAGAAAGGCTGTTCCCAACATGGCCAGCCTAGCCATCTTGGGTATCTTCCCATGCTTATTTGGGCAGTAGCCTCCCTAGGAATACGGCTTGAGTCTCTCTCCTCAGGTTCAGCACCAGTGTTGAACTCCTTTGTCTGTACTGGCATGGTGAGAGCTGTAGACCCTTGTGTAGAGCATGTGGCTGTCACTCAGGGGAAACACACAGGGCTGAAACTTGATCCCTGCTTAGACCCCAGCTTCTCTTCCCAGGAAGTGGGGGACTCTAGACTCCCCATGAGTCTAGATGTCCCTATGCCCAGGACTGTGCACCCTGACATTGGCAAGCAAAGTTTGGGTCTCGGCAAGCTCAGAACCCCTAAGGTGAAGAAAGCACAGGGTGAGGGATCTGACCCTGTCCTTAGCTGGGGGACATGGGGACTGCCTTCTTGACACAGAGGCTGGAGGATGATGTTATGCGTAGGAAGTAGGTCACGGAGGCCTGGAGTTGACCCAGAGTCCTTGACAGCAGCCAGTAGGTCTGTCCTGGAGCACACACTGATGGGAGCAGAGCCAGGTCAGCAAATGTTGTCTGAGCAGCATCAACTCCCCGAGCTGGGAATGGAATGCAGAAGAGGACATCTGGACCACAGTTCTCTCCAAGCCCAAGGGTGAGGCTGCCCCCGCCCTCCACCCATGCACCAACCCCGCACAACCTCCAAGCTTGCCCAGGCCCGACTGGGCTGCTGGCATGCACTTGTAGAAAGCCTCAGCAGCCAAGGCTATAGGACAGAACAGGCTTGCCAGCACACTGGGGTGAGAAAAAGCAGGCCAAGAGCCAGGGCCTGCCTGATCCTGCCCCGTGGGGCCGTGTCAGTCGGGCAGGGGATTCCGCTACTCATCCAAGCGCCTCTTGTTTCTACAGAACTCTACCTCATGCTCATCACAGTGTCCCTGCTTAAAGATGGCTGTGCCCTTGATTCCCCAAGGGAACCTGGCAAGTACAGCTCAGACCTGTCCCCAGAGACTCGGCTGAGCACTGACAGTGACAAGGATGATGGCCACGATGGAAATGGAGAGGTGGCAATGACGCCAAAGGTGACAGCTACTTAGAAAGCTCTGTGGCCGGGTGGCTTCTGCTCAGGATGCTGTGAAAGGAGCATTTCCTCCCAGACCAAAAACACCCTCAAGAGAGGCTCTGCTCTGAGCGAGGAGAAGGGGCTGAGGAACCTGAGGAAGGAAGGGACAGCCAGTCCCCCACCACCGGCCAAATCCACCCATCTCAGGTTTCATCCCGTTTGGCAACCACAGCCTTGGTGGTGATCCTGTAATCCAGTCCAGTTTAGCCTGCATCATCCCTGCGTTTCCCAAACTGTGGGCCATGAGTCACCCTGGTCTGAGCCAGCCGGATACTTCTAAGCCACTTAAGAGACCTCACCACTGTGGTTATGAGGACCAGACAATGCCAAGATCACAGCCAGAGGAAGTCCTAAGCCCCGAGAACCACACAGAGGTTCCAGCCAGCAAGAGACTTTTCCCCCAGGGTGGCAGGAATAAGCCATCTCTCAGCTCCACCCTTTGTTCTGTGAGGGCTTTGTGCCCCATCTCTTTGCCAGTAACAAAGAACACTCACAAGAGACAAGTCCCCCTGCTCCCCGTGCCCTGGACTTCTGGACAGTTGGACAGGTAGACAGATGTCAAAGTCCCCGTGAATGTGATCCAGCTTCATCTCTCTGTCTCTTTTCCTCTCCTGCTCTGCCCTGCCTCAAGGGTACTGTCTGCCCACCCTGGCTCAGCTTCCCCTCTCTCCTGCCCACAGCACCCCACGAGACCCAGGCCTGCCCCACAGATCTCTCACTCACGCACAACTGGAAGTCAGCCACAGCTAGTGGGGTCTACACCACAGGCGTCCATGGTGGCCACTACTCTGTGCTTTTCTTTGGGGACATTGGTGTCCAACATGTTTCAGGACACTACTGCTGTTCAGACTTGACCTTGTAGTCCATCCCCAAGTCCACCAGAAAGCCCTGTCACTTTCTCACTGGCCAGCCAGAATCCACTCCTACTGTGTGGCGCCGTCCCCACCTCCCAAGTCTGACCCCCCCACACCCAGGCAGCCCAGATATTTCAAGGTTATCTTCCAACCTGGGAATCCCTGGCAGCCTCAGGCTTCCTCTGGTGATCCCCCTAGCCCCAGCTGGGGCTTGTCATAGAGAACCTGCCCTTCCCTCCCCCCTCCCACCCTCACTCTGCTTCGTTCTACACCCCACCCGCTCCCTGCTACAGAAACTTCTCCAGAGCTTCCCACTAACTCACCACACCACCCCTTAACTCTTTCCAAAGCTCCCTTTCGTTTTTATTACCCTGGCACACAGAACTTAGGCAAGACACACTTGTTGACTCGCATGGTTGCCTTTGACAAAGGGGAGCTTGCCGGGGTCAACGTGGAATGCGCTGGCTTGGCAGGAGCCCAAGGCACAGGCGGCTGGAAAATACCACACCTGGAGCTCACCCTGCTCATCCTAACAGGCAAAGCAGAGATGGGTCCAGAGAAGGGTGCCCAAGCGGTGTGTGCAAGGCAGGGCCTCGGAGATCAGAAGAACCCAGACAGAGTAGAAGAGAGCCTTCAGTGGGGCTCGGCCTCGAGTTCCCATCCTGTGGACCAATAGACAGTACTGAACTGCAGGTAGTCCAGAGCAGCAGCGTGCTGTGGGAGCGCAGGGTTGAGGAGGGAAGGTGTGTGTGTGTGTGTGTGTGTTTTTGCTTGTTTTGTTTTGAGACAGGGTTTCTCTGTGTAGTCTTACTTGTCCTGAAACTCTGTAGATCAGGCTAGCTTTGAACTCAGAGATCCACCTGCCTTCACCTCCCAAGTGCTGGGACTAAAGGTGTGCTCCATCACCGCCTGGTTGGGATAAGCCTCTCCGGCCTCCCACATCCTTCCACTGGAGCCTGAAGCCATCCCAGTGCTTGGCATGGAAGCTCTCCTGCAGAGAGATGGGAAAGGCACCCAGAGCTAGTTCCAATCCTCGGTGACCTCCTGCAGGTCATTGGCCTTACCTGTCCTAGAAGGAAGGTCGGCCAAGTTTACAGAGGCTGATCAGGGCAACAAACAACAGACTGTATCGAACCACCACACATAAGACCAAAACAAAAAGGGGACCAATGAGCAGCAGCTGTGTGGGCCAGAGAGCAAACAGCTCAATGGCTCAGCTTCTCGGAACTCTCCGGGCAGTGAACTCTAACAGGTCACAGCTTGTTAGCCGGCAATGGAAGTAGAAGTGAGATTCTGGTCAGCCAGCCAGCAGCCTCAGGTCTGCAGACCCCTCACTTGCAAAGCGGCCACCAGTAAACGGTACCTGGGCCCTAGCCACTGTCCCCACTGATGAGAGACACACAGCATGACCCTCAAGGACAGGGGCTAGTGAGGTCAGAGGCCTGTGAAAACTCCAGGCCTGGAGGCACAATTCCAACAGAATTCCTTCCCATGGCCAGGACCAGGAGTCATCATCCCAGGGCTAAGCTGATGTCCTCAGAGTGACTCAGTCAGCTGTCACAATTTTGCATTCTGTCACAGACTGAGGCCTGCCGTGTGGACAGCCCATCCCGTAGAGCTCTGATTCTGAAGCACTATGGAGCATCGGAACTGCTTGAGACCATGTGAGTGGCTGAGCTCCCCTAGGTCTGCTAGCCTGCTGGGAGAAGGCAGGCCTGGGGGGGTGGAGGGGGGGCTGCCAGGGCCTAGGCTCAGTGTTGGGAATGACAGGCTGCTCAGAGAGTCAGAGGAGGCTGAGTGGAGTCTTCTGCTAAGGGCCTGCAGTGTGCCAACCCCAAAAATCACCACAGTGGGCAGCACAGATTGCTATCCCTGTCTTGTCAATGAGGACGTGAAGGCTCAGAGACTGGGCTGTCCAAGCGCACACCGCTAACAGAGCCAAGATGTAGCCCAGAGGCTCTGACCTCACAGCCAGTCATTTCCACTCTCCTGTGGCTTGAACATCTGTCTTTTCCTAGAAGAAGGGTCCCATGGTATGCCTGCTACAGGGCTGTCTTAGTCGTTGGCCAATTCAAAACTGTTGCCAAAGATTTAATCATGGAACACATATCCATCGGATGCGTGTGATGTGGCACCGACAGGGTCATCCATATTCAGGAATGTTCTAGCAGTCAACCAGAAAAGCCCAAAGCCGCAAGACTCCTAGGACTGTGGTAGCATGCTTGTTTAGCATGCCTGCACCCTGGGGTTCCCGCCCCAGCATTACATAAACGGGCATGGAGACAGGAGGACCAGAAGTTCAAAGTTCTCCTTGACTCCCAACCTGGTCAATACCAACCTAGGGCTACATGAAACTGTTAAGAAAGGAGCGAGGGCGAGAGGGGCAGGTTCATTTATTCAGAACAATTGATTGAATATTTGATGAGGCACTGTGTTTCAGGCCCTGGACAGGGCAGGTAAGACACACTGCATGAATGGATCTAACTGAGGGGCAGAAACTGCTTGTCCGGCCAAATCGCTCTTGCCTTTTGTTTTTAAAAAAATCTATTTGGTCCTGGTGGCACAGGCCTGTGATCTCAGCCACTAGAGAGGCTGAGGCAGGAGGATTCTGAGCTCAAGACTAGCCTGGGCATTTTAGGGAAAGCCTATCTCAAAAAGATGGAAAAGAGAGCTGGGGCTGTGGCTCATGGTGGGACCCTGGCTTCCACCCTCATGCCGAAAACAAACCAAGCCAAAGCAATCCGTGAGGAAGCTCTTGACACGGCGGCTTGCTAAATCCCCAACCCCTGTGCTTGTATTTTTAATAGCTGCAAGATCCCCGCATCCAGGCACAGCCAGTGGTGACTGACCTGTTCCCAGTTAAGTACCTGGGAAGTGGCATACAGTGTTTGCTCTTGGTGTGACCGCAGCTACCGTGGATTGCTGCCCTTTCAGATTAGAACTGCCCAGAATGGTGACAGAGATACCAGCGTGGACATAAGCTCTCCACTGAGTCCCCAAGTCATTGTCAGGAGAACCAAGCAGTTCTTTGGGACTTCCCCTGAGGTCCTTGAGTGACCCTGCTGCCCAGCTGGCCCAGCTCACAGAACATGCTTTTCTTTTGGACCCCATGACTTCCTGTAACCAGTGTTACAGTGGTTGACAGGAGGTGGATTGCAGGAGGGTCGCTAAACTGTAGCTACTCATCCCTGAAGCCCAAGCCTGAGGCAGAAGGACCCTAGAGCTCCCAAGTCTCCAGGGACTAAGCACTGCCCCGGGGAGTCTCAGCATGCCTCCAGATCTCTCCCCTGACCACAGGGAGCAAGCAGCATGATTGGAGGTTGTCTTCCATCTCACATGTGCAGTAGCCCAGAGAGGTGGGCTCTGAGGTCACACAGCTTCAAGGGATGGAACCAGGAATACTGAGCACAGTGGAAGGCGTTTGCACACCAGGGCTGGAGCTTGCACGCCTGCTGACTTCCAGAACCTAGAGCAAACATCCTCACTTTCCTGCAGTGTGTCCCCTGCTGTTTAAAGGAGGAAAGAACAGGTAGAGGAGGCTGCTGCTCCGAGCCTTGGAGCCTCCCAGCCTCCTCCCTGTGTGGATAGCCCCCTGGGGTTCAGCCTCCCTCCTCTTCCCCCTGTGGGACACCTGGGTCTCCATCTTTGGCAATCTCCCTAGGAGCTCACAGTGCTAATCCCTAAGTAATCCTAAGGCCAGGCAGGCATTGGCCACCCACACTGGATCCCAGGTGTACACAGAGCAGGACAGGCTACAGTGGAAGCCCCTCACCCTGCTTCTGGCCCTGGGAAACCTTTGTCTTTATCTGTAAATTAGTCACTGCTAAAATATCTGGCCACCTCTGGGCCAATGAAGAGACTGAAAAATTTCAGAGTAAAGGCCACTAACCTTGTGAGCCGGAACAAATATTGATTGTGTGTCCTGTGCCAGAAGGGCCTGGGATCTTTGTGCCAGAGCCCCAGCCTAGGTGGGGGGTCACAGACCCAGCCCAGTCCCAACTGCGGCTTCCATTGCTCAGGGTCTCAGTCTCTTCACTGGGGATTAAGAAGAGCAGTGCCCCTGCTTCCATTGCTGGGCTGCTGTGTGGACAGAACCACCCCGAACCCACCTTGAATTGGGTAAGCACAGGCCTGCTCAACCACTGAGGGACTGTCCTTGCCTACCCAAGCCTCTTAACCTCTTCCTTTATCCCAGCGACGCTCGACCTTCCTTTACCCCAGTTCCCATGTTGTGGTGACCCCAACCGTACAGTTATTTATGTAACTGGAACTACAACTTTGCTACTGCCGTCACAGGACATGTAAATACCTGATAGGTGACCCAGCGTGGGGTCGCGACCCATAGGTTGAGAACCACTGCGTTGGTCACTGCCAGACTCTCCTGGGAGATGCCCAGGTCTGCCACCACCATTTATGCTGTGTGACCTGGGGCTTGAGATGAACTTCTCTGAGTTGCAGCCTTGTATAAGAACTATCTATTCACAGTGCCTGGTACCTGGGAACAAGAGATGAAGCTGGACCGAGAGAGGGGTCTGCTGGGTGGTTCTGGGGTTGGCGGGGAGAGAGAAATGGGAGTATTTCACAGGAGGAATGCCCCACACCCACACCCAGCCCTTTAGCTCCCCGCTGGCTGCACTAGTGCTCAAGTAGGGAAACTGAGTCTCAGAGGTCCCTCTGCCCAGCCCCTTGTCATGGTCCAGGTGGCTCACAGTCCTGGATAATGGATCCTGGAACCACCCAGGTGTCAGGCTCTCACCAGCCCAGGTCTGAGACCTGAGGCTATGATTCGTGGGGTGCACGCAGCAGGACATCAGGGCAGAGGGAGAGACACGCTGAGGGAAAGCACAGGATGGGGGTCTGTTCTCCTTAAACACTTCGCCTGTGTGCCAATGTTTCCCTTATTTTATGTGAGAGTTTTTTCCTATGGCTCTGGGGGTAGAAGCCAGGCCTCCAGCATGCTAGGCAAGCAGTGTAGCCCTGAACTACAGTAGCCCAACACTCCCTGTTTTCACTGACTGTGTAACCCACAGGGCTGAGTTGGACTCAGTGGTAGATGTATGCCCAGCATCTACAGAGCCATGGACTTGAACTACAGCCTTGGGGGAAAAAGACATTCTATCCTACTGGCGGGTGAGATGTGTGCCTGTGTGTGTGTGTGCACATGCGCACACACAAGTGACAGGCGTTGGGGCCAGAAGTCAACATCAATTCCCTTTCTCCATCACTCTCCACCTTGATATGGTTTGTTTGTTTGTTTGTTTGAGACAGAATCTCTCACTGAACTTGGAGCACACGTTTCACCAAACCTGCCTGACCAACGAGTTCCCCCTAGGATCTGCCTGTCTCTGCCACCGCAGTGCTGGGATTTCAGGTGTGTGTCACCCAGTAGGGTTTTTACGTGGATGCCTCGGAACTGAACTCAGGTTCGCATGTGTGCCCAGTGAGCCATCTTCCCCACACAGTGTTCCCTCTTGGGTCCGATGAGGACCTCATGTACATTTTATAGTCAGAATTACAGAACTGAAAATGAGGTCTCTGTGGGGGCTGAATCTGAGCCAACTTCCTCAGAAGCTTTTAGCGGGAATGGTCCTCCCAGATGACCCTGTCCTAAAGTCTCAGCTCTTGTGAGTGTGTAGTTTGTGTTTCCCAGGAGCCCGTCTGTATTTGCTGGCAAGCCGGCTTGCCTCCCTGAGTAGGGAGGACCGTTAGGGATCCAGATACCCCTCAGGAGCCCCTGTCAGCCTGCAGGGACTGGCTACCTGGATCCCCTCTGTACCCTCCCATCAGTGCCCTTTGGCCTGCTTTCTGTGGCGTTTATATCTATCTTTCATCTTGATGGTTCTGCTGCTGATAACCGCTGGACAGGTAAACACGGAAGGAGGAGAAAGTCCACAAATGTCTATCAACCAGCTCCACCTACAGGGCCATGGCCAGGGCCGGGGCCAGCCTGGAGAAAGGCCAGTCCCTCCTTCCTGGCTTTTCAGGCCCTGTTCCCCAGCCTCTTCCAGTTTCTCCCTGAAGAGCTGAGGCTCCAAAAGCAAAAGTCCCTGACCCTGGGTTCATGAACTCTCTGTCTCAGTTTACATATCCAAAAGCATGGGCAGGTTGCCACCAAGCACTGTGGTACGTGAAAGCAGAGATGGGGGACAACGGGCAGGGGGTGTAGCCAGATGCACCTGTGCCCTGAACCATGCTCTGGCTCTCAGGCTGCCCCACTGATTTCAGAGCCCCACTCCAGGCCCTGGTATGTTGGAAACACACTTTAAGACTACAGGTGTCCGCAGAGGGAGTTCCCTCAGCCCAGGTCTCAAAAACACACCCACAGAGAGCTGAGGCCTGTGGCAGGGGTCTCTGAAGCTTCTGTTACTGAGCCCTGGCTTAAACTAATCCTCTCAGTGTACCTCAACACTAAAGGGAGTATCTCAGCAGAAGAGCTAAACCCAACGCAGCTCCCATTCAGGCTGGGGAAAGTTGCCCAGCCTAGCGCAACAGGAAGACGCAGAATGCATAATCCTTGTTTTAAAAAATGATCAAGAATTTTAAGGAAGACACCAGATCATTAAACCAAGATTCTGACCACAAAGCCCTAAGCAAAAAGTTGCAGCACAGGATCCCTCCAGGGGAGGGGGCCAGGAAGGGAAAGGAAGCAGTATTTTCCAAGACCTGATACTTGGACTGTGGGCTGCAGGTGCCTGACCTTTCCTCTAAACCCAGGTGAGCAGCCAGCCTTGCCCCCCCAGCCTCCTACCCACCCACCCCAGGATGGTGTCCCTCTTCACCCAGCCCTGCAAGAGGTGCCTCTCTGTCAGGTTATGGCTTGGCACCATGTACTCCCTGGTGAACACTCTCCCATTGAGACTGCTAGCACAGACTAGGGCTCAGGGGTTCTGTGAGTGTGTTTAGCAGTTCTGGGGACTGAAGGCAGGGCTTCGAGCATTCTGGGCAAGTGTTCTGCCACTGAGCTGTCTCCCAGCCCCAAGCCCAGGGTTTGAACATATACATATGAGTGTACAGAGGGCCTTCTTTTTTTTTTTTTAACCAATGGTCCTGGGGCTTGAACCTGGGACCCCATGCATTGCTAGGCACAGGTCCTACTGAGCTATTCCCCAAAACTTATATGTGGTATTTTGAATAATCATTGTTTTAATCCAAGAAAAAAAACAAAATATCAAATTTTTTTTAAATCAAAATGCTGTGTTAGCAGCCAAGACTCTTGCAGCTGGAAGATATTCTACAAGGTGGACCCAAGAACCTTGTCCTTCTTTACAGCTCTGAAGGTTTCTTTTTCTGCAATTTTTTTCTTTATAAAATTGCACCAAAGTGTCACTTTCTTGGTTAACGAATCCTGTCCCCCCCTCCTCCTTCTCTTCCTCCTCCTCCTCCTTTTCTTTTAGTTTTTAGAATTACTTATCTTATATATATGAGTGTTCTGTCTTCATGCAAACAAGAAGAAAGCATCAGATCCCATTACAGATGGTTGTGAGCCAGCATGTGGTTGCTGGGAATTGAACTCAGGATGTCTAGAAGACCAGTCACTGCCATTTAACTGCTGAGCCATCTCTTCAGCACCAGATTAGCAAGCCCTTCTTAAAGTTGCTACTTAGAGCAAGAGCCTGACACGACACTCGCCCCCAGTTCTGGGCCTAGTGGCAGAGAGAACCGTGAGAGTGACAGCTGATAAGGACAGGAACAATGACCACTGAGGTGTGTGTGCCGACCTAAACCACTGCCCAACTTCCTTCCCTTGAGCCAACGCTGAGCACCCATATGGAAAGGGCTATTCCAGACCCAGTGTGTAGCAAGTGACACCTCCCCAGGACTCAGCTTCTGCTCAGAGAGCACAAGAACCGGCCAGCAGGAAGAGAAGTGTAGAAGGACCAGGGAGGACACACACACACATATAAGTCTGACTTTCCCCACTTTTCAGATGGGGAAACTGAGGTTTGTTCAGAGCCTCCAACCAGGAAGTCTCTGAGTGTAGGTTGTCAGGGTCAGGCTAGTGACTGAGGTTTTTTTTCTGTACACCTCCATGACCCCTCACCCCACAAGCTGGGGTGGAAACTGAGTGGAATAGCCACCTTCTGTAGTTCAGAGGCCAGCTGGCCAATCATTTCTCAGAATCGGTAAAGTTGTCCCACCGGTAAGAAAGAGATCTGGTGGTCTCTCTCAAGAGTCACTAGTTCCTCCTTCAGACTGAACCCAGGAAGGGAGGCTGGCCAGCGGGGGCCCTTTAAGACTGGCCAGGGGCAAGTTCATTCACCCAGGGGCCCCTGCTGACTCACGCTTATGAAAGTGATTTTCCTGGCCCCGCCTCTGCCTCCGCCTCCTCCCTGCCCCGCTGTGAAATACCCCTGCTAGCCTTGGGCCTCGTACAGCCTCTGGGATCCCCAGGGCTAATGGGCATCCTGTTCCCGTAGCAGGGCACTGTGACAAAGTCTCTCACCGTGATCAAGTTCCTCTGAGTGTCCAGCCAACCTAGGCTCACCGGCTCCCTCCAGCTACCGTCCATCAGGTGAGCGGTCTGGGCAAGGTTGTGGGTGGGAACCGATGGCCACCGGGCAGGGGTGGCCAAACGGGATTTGGAGGGGAGCTGGGCAGTATGCAGTCTGGTCCTGAGCAGGACTCCGGGAGTCCTCTCTGCTCCTCCAGACACGTCCATGTTCAGGTATGTGGGCCCCTCTCCCCAATGGCCCCTGGTTCAGCAGCCTCATCCTAACCCGTGAAATAGCTGTTCCGGCAGGGAGGAGTGTGAGTAGCCTTGCTTCTTCGAGGCGTCAGAGGCCACTGTGTCACAGCCTGGTGAGGTGCTTTCCTGGGTCCTGTGTACCAGGCACAGGGGGTCACAGCCGAGGGTTCCTGGGCACTTGCTTTATGGAGGGTGCTGTGGAGAGCGGTGGACCATAGAGGTTGGGGCATCAGGCGTCCTTGGGCCCAGGTGAGGCAGGCACTTGGAATGAGGGTTCACTGTGACTAAGGCCAGGTAACACTTGGCCGACTGCACACTTCCTCCTGCCCCAGGGCCTTGTGTCACTAGCAGCTGTCACTGCTACCTGTTGCTTTATTTGGGAACGGAGGGGAAGGGGGATCCAACTAGGCTGTCTGGGAGTTAGACGAGATGCCTCCTTCCCCCCCACACCTCAGTTTCTTTCTCCATGCAGTGGAGATAAGAAAACCCCAGCTCTTGTGGCGGGGGGGGGGGGGGCGTCTTAGAGGCGAACAGTATACGTCTCTTCCCCAGCGTGACGATTTCATAACCTTAGAAATGTCTGCAGTGTCACACCAGGGCAGCTATCGCCACTTCTGAGAAACTCTTCTTTTTATGTGCTCACACCTGTGGGGTGAGAGGTCGATGTCTAGTGTCTTCCTCAGTCACTGTCCACACCTTATTTTATTCCATTATTATTATTGTTATTATTATTATTGTTATTATTATTGCTAGAGAGAACGCACAAGAACGTGTGTGGAAATCAGACAGCCATCCCACTCCCCCAGGGGTCAGGGGTCAGCTTTCTCCTTCCATCTTTCTGTTCTGCCCTCAAGTCTCTGTCCTGGTACAACTTGCCTGCTGGGCTACTTCACTCCAGGTTTCCCTCTCCGGGACTGAGCCTAGAGCCTGTCGCTGGCTCTCTGGCGGGTGATCTCCAGGGGCCTTCCTGTGCCTGTCTCTCCAGACCTAGGATTACAGACATCTGCTTTTTACAGGAGTGCGGGGAATCTGAACTCAGTTCCTCGCCATTAGGCAAGCACCTTACCCTAGGAGCCGTCCCCCTGGCCCCTCAAACCAACAACTTGAGAACATTATTTTTTTTTTCTGTCAGCATTGCCCAATCAGAGAGACTCAGAAATCTGCCAGTACTTTAAAAACTGGTTATTCTATCCTGGAGGTGGTGGCTTTCTCCTGTAATCTGAGCAGCTGGGAGGTGCAGGCAGGAGGATCAAGAGTTCAAGGCCAGCCAAGGTTTATTCCCGTTTCAAGCCAGCTTGGACTACACAAGACCCTGTCTGAACAAACCAAGCAACTTACTCCAGCTCTACAAACTGAGGTCGTGGGTGGGAGTGCAGGGTGGAAGAAGGTAGCAGGTGCCTGTGGGTGGTAGTGAGGGCGACCAGCTTGGGGGCGTGTGACCTCTGGGGGTGTCAGGGTTGGTGGTGACCTCATGCCTATGGCATCCAGCAACTCTAGGTGAAGCTTCTGCCAGCTGGGAGAGGGACCTGGTCTGAGAGTGCAAAGTCCTCCAATGCATTAGCCCATCCTACTTCCTGTGAAGCAACTTAGGCAGCCCCTTGGGTCTGGCCTGTGTGGACAGGGCCTCCTGCTGGCACCAGTGAGAAGCTGTATGCTGGGATATTAAGAGAAAGGAGGGGTTGGCACCTCAGGTTCTCTGGGAATGGTTGGCATGCCCTTTTCAAGGGGTATTGGAATGTCTAGTAGGGTTGTGCCTTCAGGGATCAAATTTCTGTTCTGTTATGGGCCTGCTCCAAAATTTAGCAGGCATGACTGTATCCCCACTCCACCCCTGCCTCAGTCTCTTCATCTGAGACATGGGTTGTCCTAAGAATTAAAAAGATAAGGAACAGGGAAGCACCTTGCCAGGATGTTACCCTCACCTGTGTTGCTGCTGTTGCTGGGTAATGAAGATGGGGTGAGGGAGAGACCCCAGGCCTTGGCTATGCCCTGGCCTGTGGACCAGTGAGGGGACCACCCTCCAGGAACTGCAGCCTGAATTTCCACAGCTCTAGTTAGTGAGAAACTGACCCTCCTCCAGGACACTGGGGTCAGAATCTGCTGCAGGACACAAGGGGACAACCACACACAGCAGAGGCTTCCAACCCCCTACACCTGCAGAGGCCCAGAGAAGCTTCTGGAGCAGGGTGACCCAGCTAAAGTCCACTCCAGCTGACTGGAGGTGGGACAGGCTTCTTGCAGACTATAAAGTCTGTACAAAACTCTCCAGCCTCAGTTTCTCTACCTGTGACACGGGAGTGATCAAGAGAGTACTTTTAACCACCCAGATAGAAGTTATAAGCATAAGCTTCTGAGGGTGGAGAGTTTGGACCCTGCATGGCCCCAGCTCAAAGGAAGCCTGGAGAAGCCTGGCTCTATAATTATTGCCATCAGGTGTGGTACCCCAGTGTCCTCTTAGGCCTTGTAAGGGAACACCACGTGGTCTCCAATAACAGCAGGAAGCCACCTGCACTCTCCCAGGGAGGAGGAGGAGGAGGACCCAGTGGGTGCTGGGGACATGGGAGACATCTTGGCAAGTCTGCGAAGCTGTCCTAATGTCTGAGCACAGCTGAGGCTAGAAAGATGGTTCTTGGCCAGCCCAGCTGTGAGCCCACAATGACGTGCAGGGGCATATTCCACTGGCAGACTGTTCCTCCCCTTGTGAGGCTCACCCCTCATGCTCCCCAGCAGAGGAGCGCTGAATACCAGCACCAGGTGCGAGCTGCCAGGTCAGTTGTCCGGTCTGACTGGTTGGACTTGCCTGGTGGGAGATGCCAGGCTTTGTGTCCCTGCGCGCAAGTCACACACGGCCTCAGCTGTGTTTTGTTGGCCAGTGAAGTATTTGCGTAAGGGTGCATCACTGGCTGCCCACTTTTCCAAGCTAGAGAGTTCACACACAACCCCCAGCATTCCGCCCCCTCTGTAAGAGTTCTGCAGATGTGACCTCAGACCAGTGTGCTGCCACTAGGTGAGGCTGAGGCTCCCAGGGACTCGCACGATAGCCCAGCGTCTTAGTCACCAGTTAGCCTTGGGTTAAAGTCTGCCAGCAGCTTCCTCCGAGGGTCAGCGTGGTCAGCGTGGGAGGGACAGCTCACTGGAAGAGCTCATTGTCCTTGTTCTCCCATTGAGGGCCAACATTTTTTGTGTCCCCACCACCACCACCCAGGGAGGAAGCTGACACCAGCCCCCGTTCTGCTGTCGTGGCCCAGAGTTGCCTATGTCCTCTAGGGGGAAGCTGCCCTGGCCCCTGCTGCTAGCCTGGGACCGCCGCTCCAGTGTGTTGAGCAATTAGGCATTGTGGCCACCAGGGGGCGCAAGAACTCCAAAGCCCAGGTTTGCTGGCATTTTCCCAAATCCAGCTGTCAGAATCTCCCCAAGTCCAAGGTCCATCCCCGCCCTGAGCAGAAGGTCAGGCAGGGCCTGCCTGCCAGTAAATCCACCCCAGCAGGTGTTCCAGAACATTCTCCTACTTGCACAGCTTTCTAAGGCTCCAGTCTGAGAACCAGCCAGTGTCACCAGTGAGGAAGTGGGCGGTGGCCCTACAGCCACCAAAGAAGTCTTGTCTTACCCCTCCCTCCTGTACCGAGCAAAGAGTCTTCTCCTTAAGATGAAGTGGAAGATGGATAACATGAGGCTCAGAAGAGTTGGTGGCTCCTGGTTCTCAGGCAGCTGGGGAGGAGCGCAGATGTCCCATGAGGACAGGCAGAGAATGTGGGAGGGCAGGGGGGAGACAGGAGACTCACTGCGGCACCCGCAGGGATCCTGCACTCAGCCCTGAGCTCCACAGTGTAGCTGAGATGAGAGTCGGTGTGATGTCCCCCAGCCTGACGACAGGGGCTTTCTCTTTGCTCTCCAGGTCAGCTGCCAGCCCCAGGCTGAACACCACCCCCAGCTATGAGCTCCTGGAGGCGCGACTCCCTCGGGGCCAGCCGCTCGGAGCCCCTCCCAGTAGTTATCATTGGTAAGTGTCACACCAGCAAGGGTGGGGGATCACACTGGTGCTCTGCAGACCCCTGGGTTTGAGGCTAGCAAGGCCAAGGCTGGCCTCTAGACCGTTGCCTTTAAATGAAGCTTGTCTGCTTACCATGGGGCCGGCACTGTGCGTCTAAGCATTTTCACCATTACCCAGTGTCCACAACTGTGCCAGATGCCCATATGGGGAACACAAAGAAAACCCAAAGATAGGGCCCGCGATCCCTGTCCTCAGCTCTGCAAAATTGAGAAAGAGGGCAAGCATCAGGTGGACCCACACGAGCGGACATTTTAAAGGTGAAAACCAGGTAGCGATAAGCCGGGAAGAGCTGGATGGTCGGTAGAGGACGCTCTGATCCCAGCTAGGAAGAGCCTCTGTCCACTCAGTCACCGCAGGGCTTGAAGCAGTCCGTCCTGCTGATGGATTGTCACCTCCAAGTCACAGCCCTCCTGGCTTAGGCAAGCACTCTGCCCCTGAGCTACAACCCCACTCACCTTTTCCTTTGGGGCTCACTATGTTGCACAGGCTGGCCTTGAACTTCAGATCCTCCTGCCTCATCAGCCTCTCGAGTTGCAGGCTCACATGGCTACAGGCTCTGTCTCCCTGAGTGTGAATCCCTGCTTAGCCTTTTGCCAGCTGCATGGACACAGGATTCTTGTTTAACCCCTCTGTGCCCAGTTCCCCAAGCACAAAAAGAAAATACTAGTACCCGTTCCCTGACTGACCTCACACAGGAAGCCTTTGACCACTTCTTGGTTGTTACTACACATGGTGTCTGTCACAGAGTAAGGGCTTGGCGAACGGTTCATGGAATGAGGGAGTAGCCAGCCAGGCTGAGTGACCCTGACCTCCCTGTCTCTGCAGGCAATGGTCCTTCAGGTATCTGCCTGTCCTACCTGCTCTCTGGCCACATCCCCTACGTGAAACCAGGAGCTGTCCACCCACACCCCCTGCTGCAGAGAAAGCTGGCCGAGGCTCCAGGGGTCTCCATCCTGGACCAGGTGGGTCTGACACATGAGTATGGGAGGGACATTCCCCTGGCAGAAAGCTAGGGGTCCCTGGAAGACCAAGCTCAGAACAGGAGTCCACAAAACCAACCATATAACAGGAAAAGAGCAACTAGGACTGTCTTCCGAGACCCACCGATGCCACGTCAGCAGTCTGACCACACATTAGACGCATGATTCTCAATCACCGACTCCCTCCAAGAACATTCACTGGGGCCCTCAGGCTCCCAGAGGGACTACAGTGACAGTCCCCCAAAATACTCAGCGTAGAGGTCTCTGTGTGACCAGTTTCCCTTAGAGTCAAGGTGGGACTCTGTTATCCCCTGGGGGTCCCACTGACCTGTGCCCCTTTCCCTTAGAGTCAAGGTGGGACTCTGTTATCCCCTGGGGGTCCCACTGACCTGTCCCCCCTCTTCAGGATCTAGAGTACCTTTCCGAAGGCCTCGAAGGCCGAAGCCAGAGTCCTGTGGCCCTGCTCTTTGATGCCCTCCTGCGTCCTGACACAGACTTTGGAGGCAACATAGACTCCGTGCTCTCCTGGAAGCGACAGAAGGACCGAGCTGTTCCCCACCTTGTCCTGGGACGGAACCTCCCTGGGGGCGCCTGGCATGTGAGTGTCATCTTGGAACACCCCTGTTCTCCCTCACACCCTGGGGAGGGGGGCGGGGTACTGCTGTCCTGGCTGGGCCTGACAACTCCTTTCTCTGCAGTCCATTGAAGGTTCCATGGTGACCTTGAGTCAAGGCCAGTGGATGAGTCTCCCAGACCTGCAGGTCAAGGACTGGATGCGGAAGAAATGCAGGTAAGGGGTCCCCGGGAGGCTGGGCAGGCAGAGGAGACTCCCCTATAAACAGACAGATAAAACTGGCCTCTCTAGGTTCTGGCTCTGTCCCTGCAGATGAGGAGGGGGTGTCAGGATCGTGTAGTGACTGGAACATGGGCACCACTTGCCTTTTTGCATAACGCCTATGAGAAGTATCTTATGGGAAACCACAGTAGCCTGCCCTTTACAGGGCCTTGTAATATTCCTAAAGGGGCCATGCCTCGGCTCAGCAAACACCCCATGATCCACTGCTGGCCACTCCCCACCTCCCAGTGTGCCATTATATTAAACAGCCCTGCAGGTAGCCTCTGAGGACAGGCCACTGTTACAGCTTTCACAAAAGGTAAACAAACAAACAAGCAGACAAAAGACAGGAGCTTGAAATGACAGACAGAAACAAAGTCTGTAGCTCCTGGGCAGCCTCCATGCACCCTGCCTGGACTTTGAGTCCCCCTTAGCCATATGTCCCTGCACAGGGTAACTGCAGCCATGCGGGATCATCCGATAAGGGACAGGAAGTCTGAGGTGATGAGCCAGCTCCCCCACCAACATGGCTCACAGACCCTGCCACCAGTGTCCCTGGAAAGGGAAGAGATACAATAAAATCGGCAGTGAAAGTGGCGAGCCCCCCACCCCCCAACACCCCCACACCTGTCCTGTGTGGCCCAGGACCCGCTAAGGGCTTCAGTGGGGGGATTTTTAAGTCCACGCTTCAATCAGAATGTGATTCACGGGGTTGGGAATTTAGCTCAGCGTTAGAGCGCTTGCCAAGCAAGAGCAAGGCCCTGGGTTCGGTTCTCACCTGCAGGAGAGGAAGGGTGGGGGCGGGGTGGGGCGGGGTGGGGCATGTGACCCATGCAGGAAAGGGTAGGGGAGCCCTGAGTGCCTCTGAGGAGCGCCCTGCCGTGGTACTCAAGGGCGGATTCTGAGGCTGCTGTCCAGCGCCCACTCTCTCTGCTCATCCTCCCTCTCTCTCCTCCAGGACAGCCCAGCTTTTAGCTCTAGTTGTATAGAGTCCAGACCTCATTGTCAACTTTATAGATGTGCGACATTACAGCATTTACGTAGACCTTTTGAGTTTTTTTGTTGTTGTTTTGTTTCTTTTTAGTTTTTGATGCAGGGTCTTGCCATGCAAGGCTGGCCTTAAACTGGTGATCCTCCTGCCTCAGTCTCCTGAGTGCTAGTAGTAGTCACCAGCTCCCAGACTGTTATTAACTGCCACTGGGGTAACGATGTGGCTGGATGGCCAGCCCAGACATGTCACCCCATGCTCAAGTTCCCGTCTAGGCACTTGGCTTGTACCCAACCTCGTATGATCTCCCAAGGCCCTCATGGGATGTTCCTGACACACTTACTACCCTGCCTTACAAGCAGGGAAACTGAGGCACAGGGAGTTAGAGGCTTTGGGAGGTACCCTTGCTAGTTCTGCTTTACACCGGAGACACCAAGCCTGGCCTCGGCAGAGCGTGCTGTCGCCACTGGCCATTGCCTGCCTCCATGCCCGTCTCTGACACCCAGCCCCCACATCTGCTTCCTCTTCAGAGGCCTCCGAAACAGCAGAGCCACAGCCGGTGACATCGCCCACTACTACAGGGACTACGTGATCAAGAAGGGTCTAAGTCACAACTTTGTGTCCGGTGCTGTGGTCACTGGTGTGGAGTGGGCTAAGTCTGAGCACGGCAGTCCTGAGGCCCAGGCACCCAGCCCCCTCTTCCAAGTGACGGGCTACTTGACTGCCAAGGACCACAGCCGCCAGCCCTTCTCCCTGTGGGCCCGTAACGTGGTCCTGGCCACGGGCACCTTTGACAGCCCAGCCACGCTAGGCATCCCAGGAGAGACCCTGCCCTTTGTCCACCATGAGCTGTCAGCCCTGGAGGCAGCCATCCGGGCAGGCACTGTGACCCCAACCTCAGACCCGGTGCTGATTGTGGGAGCGGGGCTGTCTGCGGCCGACGCTGTCCTCTTTGCCCGACACTACAACATCCAGGTGATCCATGCCTTCCGCCGGTCCGTGCATGACCCTGGCCTGGTGTTCAACCAGCTACCCAAGATGCTGTACCCCGAGTACCACAAAGTGCAGCAGATGATGCGTGACCAGTCCATCCTGTCCCCCAGCCCCTATGAGGGCTACCGCAGCCTCCCTGAGCACCAGCCACTGCTCTTCAAGGAGGACCATCAGGCAGTGTTCCAGGACCCACAGGGGGGCCAGCAGCTCTTTGGAGTCTCCATGGTGCTGGTCCTCATCGGCTCCCACCCCGACCTCTCCTACCTCCCCAGGGCAGGTGCTGACTTAGTCATAGACCCAGATCAGCCACTGAGCCCCAAGAGGAACCCCATTGATGTGGACCCCTTCACCCATGAGAGCACTCACCAGGAGGGCCTGTATGCCCTCGGGCCACTGGCTGGGGACAACTTTGTGAGATTCGTCCAGGGTGGAGCCCTGGCTGCTGCCAGCTCCCTGCTGAAGAAAGAGACCAGGAAGCCACCTTAACATCAGCCCCGATGCCCTGACACCCAGGTCCTGAAGAGGAAGAGGGCTCACCACAACCCAGTGGGACATGAGCCCATCTAAAGATTTTCCATGTGGGGACCAGTCTCCCCGGCAGGAGGGGAAGACTTGAGCCCTCTGGATGGACTATCTGCCCCAGAGGCATGGGGGAACACCGGCCGCCCTACCCTCAGGCATGTCAAGGCCCCACAGTACTGCTCCTGGTGGGAGCAGTAGCCGTAGACCAGAGGGCCCCCTTGAAGCTGTCAGTGTGTGCTGGAGTCACAGGGCCAGCTGAGTGTCCAACTAGGAGGACCCCAGGCCCAACCTTTCACCATCAGGTCTGTAATAAAACCAGCTGTGCCTCCACTGTGCCTGAGGAGTCTGTGCTTGGGGAGTGGCTAGGCAAAGAGACCGTGCACTGGGGCCCTGGGTAAGGCCCACGGCTCTGGGAGAAGAAGCGATGGAGCTCCAGGGTGGGGCGTCTACAGGCACAGCGCTAGACTCTAGGGAGTCTGGGCGGGGAATGAGGTTTCCAGAAGCCTGCTGCAGCCCTGTCCACTCTGTAGTCCCCCGGTGGTCTCTGATCAGTCGCCCAGTCTCACCTCCTGCCTCAGGGCCTTTGCGCAGGCTGGTGTCCAGCCCCTGGCCCCCTATTCAAGTGTCTTGAGTCTGAGTCACTTGCACAAGTCTGCGTCTTGCTCTGCCTTCAGGCCAACTAGCGCCCGCGAGTGGAGGAGGGGAAGAAGGGACTCCGGGAGGATGGGCCGGCAGAGGGCGCTCGGGGCTCGCCGGACACCAGTACCACGGGGGGAGGGGACCGGGGGTCAGCGAGACCCTGGTGGGGACGGGGGCACAATCTCGGGGGCCCTCACCCTCCTCCACATCCGCCCTAAGCCCCGCGTGAACGAAGCCATCCCCCTCTGTGGCCGTGCCAGGGTCCGGTCGCCGGGCCCCGCGCCCCCGCGGGCAGTCCCCTGCCTCCGCGCTTGGCCGGCGGGGTGGGGGTGGCGGACGCGGAGCACGTGGCTCAGGGTCTGGGGAGCCCCCCCACCCCCGGCACTGGCGGTCCCCGCGGTGTCAGGGCCGT